TGTGAGTAGACAGCCGCTATGAATGCATATTTGTAATTGATTTGAGACCGGGAGGAGATAATTGATTGCTAGAATTGAGAAATTTATAACGTAAGAGAATAAACAGACCGAGAGGTTGATAGGACCTTGCGAGAGAATGAAAATCCTAGGAACTTATGGGAGTTAGTTGTTCATCTTGAGACCGAGAGGAGATAGATAACAATTAATATCTACGATTTAACTTGTTCGAGAGAAAGGTTTGAAATCAATTTAGCGATTATCTCTATGATTGATAAAATTAAATAAGGTTTGTTTGAATATAAACGTTTCATGAGTTAATTTCGAGGAACGCTTAGCGTAGAATCTATCTTTTATATCGTGATTTATTTTTTATTACTTTAGGTAATTTAGCTCTTAGTTTAATCTCTTAGTTTATAATCATCATCCCAGTTTGTTAGTCTAAATAATATTTAATCGTCATTATTTTAGTACTTAATTAATTTAACTACAATCTCTGTGGAATACGACCTTGCTCGCCACTACCTATAGCTACACCGTACCCTTGCGGTTAGCGAAAATAATTAGCGAACAAAAGTCAAAATTTCTGACAAGGAGCATCAGTGGCTGCTCTATGTGCCGACCAATTTATAGGCGGCCTTCGCGTTGAATGGCGTTCCTGGGTTTGACTCATAGGCGGTAGAGGTCGTCGGAAACCAACGGCTAGTGACAAATTGGAGTCGGAAGGTAATTATAGGGGCGTGACGCGTTGTCCTCGGAAAAAAACCTTGTTAATAGACCAAATTAACTAAATCAAATTTCAACTGATACAACTTTACCAATCCAAAAAAAAAGCCTAAAAACTTAACTAAACTAAATCCTTCCACGACAGCCGACAAGCGACTTTGCAGGAAACCACGCCACCAACCTTCAAGGGCTACCACCCCCAGGGGTAGAGACCCGGTTCAAGGCTCCAAATCTAAAACTGCAGAAAACGCCTAATAAGACCTGACCCCCAGATCTGAAGTCTCTCTGAGGTAGACCACCCTCGAACCAGCAAGGCAGAGACCAGTCCAAGCACACATCCCCACACCAACCGATAGCCAAAAGCTGACTAGCCACCGGGGCCAACAACCCACACCATCGGCGCAACCCATCACCTAACCCCAGGGACGATGGTAAAACGGGTGGAGTAGAGAACCACGCCAGTCCCAAACTCAAATCACCTCGCCAACTACCGACATCCCAAGTCAACATGCGACCGGAGCTACGATCCCCACCACCGGCAGAAACCTACCACCTAACACCAGGGGAGCAGGAGAACAAGGAGAAAGAGAGAGCTAACCTTAGCTCCGACTACCGGCAGACGGTAATCGGAGCAAGCCGCTCAATCACGCAATTGAAACGACGGAACCATATCCAGCAATGGAGAGCCAACCCGAAGCAACGCGGCTCGTCGAGACGCTACCCGACTGAGAAGCTCACGTGTCGACGGGAGACCAGGAGCACGGTCCAGTGTCAGCAACAATGTGGCAGCGCAGAGCGCGCCGCTGGGGAGGAGGCCGACGACGGAAAAGGACTAGGTTTTATTGTGCAAAAATTTAGGGAAAAAGATTATTTCGGTTAGGTCATTATTCTTCATATGTTCAGTTTTCTATTTTTTCTTCTTTGTTAGATTCGATTTTTCACCTAAGCGCACCAAATTCAATACAATTGTATAGAAAATCTGAGTTTACACTGAAACAGAGCCGTACCATGCATTTTAGTGTGATTCGTTTGATTGTTTTAATTTAGAAAATTTTCAATTTATTTCGACCTTTTTTTTTTCTTTTACTATTGCGGTGTAGTTCGATTAGTTTTTTATAAGTTCAAATTATCGAAAAACTTGAACTTATAAAAGAATAAAATAGTTCAATTAGTTCGTAAAAAATGATACAAAATATAAAGAAACAAAAATAGGTTGAAAATAGATAAATAAAAAACATAATAAGTCATTATTTCATCTGAAGGGCTCTACCGGCCAATGTGGTCAATAGTGCACTGACTTTTGGTCCAACCCGGGTCGAGTTCAGTGATTGAGTCGATTGTAGGGTTGAACAGAACCGATCAAATCATACAATTCAGTATGGTGCTACAACCCTAATTGATTTGGTATATAATTGTAACCGCCCCATGTAGTTAATAGTACAACTGACTTTTGGTTCAAACTGGGTAGAACTCAGGTGATCGAGTCGCCTTAATGGTGATCAAAACTTGGCAGATCTTTGAAATTCGGTGTAATTTGGTTCGACTTTTTTTGGTGTGAAGAACTTTCGATTTAGTTTTTTTTTTTTTTTTTTCCGGTTATTAAAACATCATATGTTCCATTTTCTATTTAATTTTCTTCTTTGTTTTGTACGATTTTTCACCGAAGCGCACCAAATTAAATTAAATGTATAAAAAAATTGAGTTATAATTAAATCAGAGTCAAATGATGCATTTCAGTATGATTTGATTAGATTGTTTTAATTTAGAAAATTTTCAATTCAGTTTCAGTTTTTATTATTATTATCTTTTAAATATTGCGGTGCAGTGGATTAATTCTTTATAAGTTCATTTTTTTCAATTTTTTTGATATGGTGTGATTTTGCATTGGACCGTTCCTCGTTGGTGACAACCGAAGCTTATTAATAAAGCTTCTTGGCACCTCAATAAAATGCATCACGCAATTAATTGTTTGGATATGGACTCAACTTAATACTGACATAAAAAAATTGAATGTGGTACAACTATCACAATTTGATAAGCCCATCACTGTAGTATTATGGCATGTAATATTGTAAAATGTTTGGATTTGGAGAAGTGCAAATACAATTCAGCAACCATGAATATACTGCAATAAAAAATTAGTATATATTGCCTACTGTTTTTTAAAAAACTAATAATTTATTTTTTTTATCTGATCTAAATTGAGCTTAAGAATAAAAAGAAGAATGTTATGAATATGTAACATTTAAAAGAATTGTTTAGTCAACCATAAGATGGCACATTATATGCCATAACATATCTAAAATAATATGAACTTATTACTTATCAATTCAGTTTAGATACAATTTCCACGACATTGTTAGACGTACTAATGATTTGACAACCATATTTATCAATTCTTTCCACTACAACAAAATGATGAAAAATTACAAAAAATAAAAAAAATAAAAAAAAAATGATGAAATTCTAATGGAAAGTTTCAATACAAATATATTTTAATGGAATTCCAATGGAAATTCCAACAAAAATATTCCGTTGGAATGAATTTTCTATTGGAATTTTCGTTGGATTTTGACGATTTCAACGGTAGATTTTTCAACAGAGGTGAAATAAAAATTTCAACGGTAAAAAACGGTTGAAAAAATAGCCGTTGGAATCATCAAATTCCATCTAAAATTCCAATGGAAAAGTCATTCCAACGCAATATTCTTATTGGAATTTCCGTTGGAATCATTCCAACAGAAGCTATACCATTGAAATATCCGTTGGAATATATTATCGTAGGAATTTCCGTTGGAATATAACAATTTTTTTTAGTGTTCATACAGATATGTTACTTTTAAAAATAACATTAGTAAAATAATTTATATGATCATTAAAAATGTGACGGATCGGTCTGCTCAAAACAATATAGGTAAAAGAATATATAAAAATAAGATTTTTTTATTAAAAAAAATATTATGACGGGTTGATCTACCTAACATCTAACGATATGGTACAAGATTTTTTTTTATTAATAAAATATTATGACTGGTTGACCTTCCCAAGTCCCAACTGTTAGTCGTATGGCACAATATTTTGCATTTTAGACATATTTGCTCAATCTTCATTCAGCTCCATGACTTGTCACATATGCCACATATTCTGACTTCAATTGAAACATCTACACACATACATGACTAATTTGAGGTGAAAATTCATCTTTTCCCTATTTTCATCAAGCACTAGTCAGAAAATAGGAAAGACTAGAAGTGGTATAAAATCTAAACAACTTGGGATAGTGATATAAGTAACTATGCTGCTGTCAATATTTTACAATTTTATCCCAACCCCCACTTTACAGTTAATCACTTTATATATGCATCATGTTTAATCCTGTATATATACTTTTGACCATTTCAGTTATCATATATGTTTTTTATTTTTTTTTTTTTTTNTTATAAAAGACATTTAATGGATCTTATTCCAACTTAAAATTTTCTTTCATATTTTAATTTATCCCATCAAACTAAATGTGAAAATACATTTAAACAACAATGAACACAGTCTGTATTGACTATTGAGACAGTCTTTCACACATTGGTGGATGTAATGGAGGTATTTTTGAGTTGTTGAAATTAAGTAGCAAAACCACTTGTACACCTAATATATCAATGTTATCATTTTTTTTCTTTTCAACAACTAATGCATTGAATTCTTTGTCTTCACCATTTTCTTGTTGGCAGGTCCCTTTAATATGTTCTATAATCTTCCTCTGATATAAATGGCAAGTCCCTGTCCTCATAGTTGGTAAGGATTACTATTTACAATAAAATGGTATATAAATGGAAAACAGAAAAACCAAAGTAAAAAAACCTTTGTGTGTTTTTAATATGGACTTTGAAATGATGAAAGAAAAATAACAGTTATCATCTTCTGGTTGTTCTCACAATTTTTCTCAATTCAGATGTTGAAATTTAACTATCCAATCCAAAGTAAACTTCCATATTTGTGCAATCACTTTCCAAAAATATACACAACCATAAAAACAAACAAACTCCATTCAAGTTTGAGCTCGAACTCTTATGCTTCACCTAAAAAGAATACATTCTTTCTACACGTAAAAAAATAAAAGCACAAAAAAATGCAGTATAGAAAATAAAAAAGAAAAAAGAAAAAAGAAGAAATTAAAACTAAATCACACAAGAACTTCAAGGCCATCTCCATGTTGGCACAGACGGTAATCGAACACACGCAAACTAATTAGCAAGAAGATAAAAAAAACGAGCACTCGTGCGCTAAGATGGTACGAATGTGCCAACATAGCCAAATCCCATAATGAAAAACGTGATCGCCTGCACGAAAAGGTATATATAATAGTGGTTTTTTCCGAATGCAATATCGTAACAACCGCAAAAAAAGAGGTAAGCTCCCGTTGCAAGCTCTAACAAATGGACCCTGCAATTAAAATGACAATTAGTTTTAATTAAGGAGNAAACACTTCATTTTCATATCGACTGACCAAACAGAATAAAAACGAGGCGCAACAGGTTAAAAAAAAAAAAGAAAAAGAAAAAAAAAAGAAAAAATGAAATGAAATTACCTTGGAGTCCCGACTGCATTTAGGAGGGTGATGATCGAAGGAATGTAGATTGCTCCCCATTTCGGAATTTGAACTTCGGGTACAAGCACGGTAGCAGGGAGTACAACGCAGTAGAACACGAAGGTGACTATATGGGCAATGATCTTTCTTATAAAGAAGAAACTATATATCACATGAACTTTCTTCCACAGACTCACCTTCTGCAAATAATAACCGCGCGTAAAAAAAAAATGGTAAAAAAACGACAGATATATAAAACTAAAGAAGTTCCATTCGTCGTATGTGTTAATCGAGAAATGAACCTTGTTACGTATTATCTCAACCACCATTTTACGAAACAGATTCGCGGGCCCACACGACCATCGGTGTTGTTGATAGCGGTATGCCTTGAACGTGCTAGGAAGTTCGTTTTTCACCTAAAAACCGAGTTAAAACATCGACAAGACAAACATTTTAGTCTTAAGACTAGACAAAACGAGAAAGTCTTTTTCTATATGTTAGATTATACAAATTTACACAATAAGCATTAAAACTATTTTTTTATTTATTTTATTTTATTTACCTTTAGAGTACCAAGATACAAGAATTTCCATCCTTTGAGGCCTGCTCGTACGGCTAAGTCCATGTCCTCGACCGTTGTACGGTCTTTCCATCCTCCAGCCTCGTCGATTGCTGCTATTCTCCACACACCCGCAGTTCCTTGTATTTTTTTAATTATTTATTTGTATTTAGATAGACGAAAACATTCTTTAATAGTACAATCAAACATTTTTCTAGTGACACATTAGTAAAAACAAAAAACGTCGATTGGCAAAGAAATTCGATAAACTATGCGATTGATGACGGTTTCGTTCCATTTTCTCAATTTCTTATGCTACTTTAATTCATTTAATAAGTTTTCGCGGATATAACTATGACATCATTTTGTACACGTGTCAGTCGAAAACATGATCTTGTGTGAGCGAGCCCATGAGAAAATCATGCAATGTCACTCAAATTTTAATTTACTAAAAGCAGCACACATAAATACAATATGTATTAATTGGTTCACATCTCTAAGTAGCTTAGTAAATTGGCATCTATACATTGAGGCATGGCCCTACTCCTTAAATAGCATCAATTATTGAACAATTGTTAGTAAATAATGCAAGAAATTATTTGGTTTTAATCATTTATTACCATTAAAGCCAAAGAAAGCATATGTAGAGGATCCAACTTCTTGCTCAACTGTGAAATGATAGTCAAGTGACATTTCCTGCATTCTTGTCATCAGGCATTCATCTGCATTCACTGAAAAAGAAAAAAAAAAGAACTTGATTAATTTATATTTATTTAATTATAATTTGTATTAAATAATATTTTTTTTTAACAAACAAGCATAAATGACACTGTCGGTAGTAAGCAGTAGTAGTAATCAGAAGTGCTGCGGTCCACCACTCTCATTCTGCATTCTTCAGGCACATGCTATTGCTGGGTTTTGAAGGGTAGGTGAGAAAATGACTGAAATACCCCTTTTCCAAATAACACCGAGAGTAAATTTCATCCTACCAAAGTTGTATGTGACTAGAACTATGTTTGATAAACCTAATAATAGCTTATTATAAGTGAATTTTGAACATATAACTAATAATTTATCGTTTATGACTGAACAATTAGCTTGTATGATAGAAGTGTTTTGGTAAAATTAACTCATAAGCCAGCTGAAATAAATATTTCACCGGGCTTATTTGAAAAACTACCCAACGAAACTTACGAAATAAGTTCGAATTTTTTAAAAAAGCTCGTCCTACCAAACTGAACTTATTTGAATACAGAAAGCTTATAATTTAACTCAATAAGCTATAAGTATAAGTTAGCTTATGTTTCTTACTAAACACACTCTATATTGTGTTGAAGGATAATTATCTTTTTCTTTTTTATTTTTGTGCCAAAAGGCTACAAGGACAATAAAGTCAATCCACAAGCCATGAAGTGCCTGTCAAGAAAACCAAAGTCTTTGGAATCACCTTTTATCACTAGCCAGACACTAGCTTTCT